AAAAAAAAAAAAAAAGAAAACTGTGAAGTGTGTATGAATGGTCACTAGTCCTTCAGCGATCATGTCTCAGTCACTCCTCCCTGTCCTCCACAGCCATCTCTCCAGTGTCCATCCCAGCCTCAATGTACACAACTTTGCTGGCATGTCCTTTTAGTGAATCATGGGAAATCTATCACACAAGACTCTCCCTATGTGGGGATGGGTTTCTTTCCATCAGATGCCTCTTAATTCACTCTCATAAACCATCAAGGTCACTTCCTTAAGAGAGCCATGGTCTGGAGGGAGGCTTGCGGCTATCTTATAGGGCCAGGTACAGGGGCTGTTACCAGAGCACTGCAGGTTGCTGGTATCATGTTTGTGTTGGCAGAGGAAGTGTTTTCTAATAAAATGTTTTTGTCTTGTCTTTTAGCTTACATTTTACTATGGTACTATGGATGCTTGGTGTCCAACAAAATACTACGAAGACATCAAGAAAGATTTTCCAGAAGGAGATATTCGACTCTGCGAGAAAAAATTACCTCATGCTTTTATCATCCATTTTTACGGAGAAATGGCTGGCATGATAGCTGACTGGCTAAAGGATGATCTGTCCAAAATAGAAGCCCTGACACATGGAAGCGTCACTGACAGCTAGTACATAGCAGTGGTAGGTGTGCTGTCTCTTAGTAGTTAGTAGTGTACTTAGTAGGTAAGTGTCTGGTGTTAATGTCTGATACTAGAAGACGTGGCTGGCTGTCAGCTCCGAGCTAGCTCCCCATACTACAGACTGAAGTAAGCCCAGTTGGTGAAAAATGCCATAGGCTTAACAGAAACATTCTCCAAGACTCAGGGAACACAGTGATCAGTGATCTAAACAAGACCTTTTCTGTTTGCACGGGATACCCAGTTGGCACTATGCAGTTTATTCAAGTGGGCAGGATCCTTGCAGACAAAAGGAGGTCTAAATTCAGTTGGTTTTAATTGAGTTACCTTGTAGAACAGGCTCTCCTAGAGGAAATTACAAAAATGTAAAAGAGATCAGTGAATGCTAAGTGTATAGTCAGGAATGTAAGTGTATGTGATCATGAGGATGCACATTCCAATAGCAGGAAGTGATGACTAGTGGGTCTTGGCAGTGGACCTGGGTCTCCCTTAAGGACAGGAGCTAGAGATCAGCCCGGACTAACTTTGTACAGGTCCTGGCTGAGCTCATCAGAATCAGACTGGATGCCAGGCCAGCCTGCAGGACCTCCCCTCACCCCCCGCTCCGACCTGTTACTACCTTGCGTTGGGTCACAGGCCCCCAGCGGGGCCAACATCAGGGGAGGTACTGCTTGTCTCCATCTCTAAAAAGCTTCTCTGAGGAGTGAGACTTCCTGATCTTCCTGCATTACACAGAGAATAAAGTTCACCAGACATTCCACTGGTGAAGGAACAGGAAGAGCTGTTGAAGGATCCTGACTGTGCCTCCTGCCGCAAGACAGCCAGCAAGCTCTGTGCTGAGCCTACCAGGTTGTGAGCTCGCTGCAGGCTCCTCTTCTGCAGGGCCCAGATGGGGAGGCCCTGGGTTGTCCAAAGCCGGTCTGTACCTGCCTTGTGGACTTGCCCCTTCTGTGTTTTTTCCAATAAAACTACACTGAGGGCCAGCTATGAGCTAAGTACTGTGCTAGGCATTGAGGATAGAGTTCTTAGCTATGCCATGATTCTTTTCTTCTGCAAATCATCCAGTAAGTAATTTTTGAGAGGGCATCTTTCAATTGCTGAATAGAGAAGGACCATAAATGAGTTCTACATTTCTGCCTTGGCTTTGTGAGTTGGAAAGAAGTTATTTTACTAATGAACCAAAACAATCCATTAAATTATGTGAATTCACCTTCTCTGGATGCCTCGAGGACCAGTAGAGAAGAAGCTTGTTCTCCAGCCTGGAGCAGGCTCACAATATTTCTGCCTTCCCTAAAATGACTCAATCCTGGGATCCTAGGAGCCAATAAATCCCACTGACAGCAGTAATAGTTGACAGTTGATCAAAAACATTCAGTTTTTTTCCTAGAGGAGACCCCTCATGGCGTTATCATTCCGAAAGAACAATAGAATGTTGTCCTTCCTTTCAAAGCCTAAAGCCCCCTGATGAAAGCTTCAGCTCTGATATGCTGCCAACCCAGTGGTGAGGGTTGAACGAGTTACTGTCCCTTGGCATGGCATCTGCATCAGAGCAAATGACTTCTCAGAGGGGAAGAGCCAAGTGCTCCTGGCCCCGGAGATAAACCAGGAGACACAGGCCACTGGCATAGGGCTACACACGAAATCCTGATTGGCCTCTGTGTGGGTGGGCCTTCTGGAAATCTGGTGTCAGAAGCTCCGATTCACCACTCCGAACTGCCTTGCACATAGGAGATGCTCATAGTACTAACTTGAAACCTTTGACCAAGTCCTGGTGAATCACACCTACTCAGAGAATAATAGCATCGCCAGCTCTTCTTTCAGCATTAGTTTGTATTACTCTGTCTGAATATATGACATTGTGTCTTATGGTGGTTTTTCAGAGCTTAAATAAATGATGAAAAGTAGAAGATACGGGCTCGTTTTCTGTTTATCATCCAATCGCCAAATGAATTTTCAAAATAAGTGTTTAACCAACACTTAGAGCTGCTTGGCCTGACCTCTGTATGGGGGGCGGGGGTGCATGGTACCGTCTGAACAGGCTCCTGAGTTAGACTTGGACCCAAGTCTCTCTGTTGGATTTTCTCATTCCTCCTTTTATTTATTTTTTTTTTTAATTTTTTTTTTCAACGTTTTTATTTATTTATGGGACAGACAGAGACAGAGCATGAACGGGGGAGGGGCAGAGAGAGGGAGACACAGAATTGGAAACAGGCTCCAGGCTCCGAGCCATCAGCCCAGAGCCTGATGCGGGGCTCGAACTCACGGACCGTGAGATCGTGACCTGGCTGAAGTCGGCCGCCCAACCGACTGCGCCACCCAGGCGCCCCTCATTCCTCCTTTTAGAGAAGAATCTGATTTCAGGAGATTGGAGTTGATTTCCTTAGGAATTAAACAATGCACTGAATATTTCCATGCATATATACGACATGATAAGGTATACAGGAACTCTGGAGGCCTTGTCACCTGTGTGATTTTTAGACAACTTTCTCTAATTTCTCCATGCATCAGTGTCCTCACTTAAAAGATAGGATTAATGGGGCGCCTGGGTGGCCGGTTGAGCATCCAACTTGGGCTCAGGTCATGATCTCATGGTTCATGAGGTCAAGCCCCACATCGGGCTCTGTGCTGACAGCTCTGAGCCTGGAGCCTACTTCAGAGTCTGTTGTCTCCTTCTCTCTCTGCCCCTCCCCCACTAACATTGTGTGTGTGTGTGTGTGTGTGTGTGTGTGTGTGTGTGTGTGTCTCAAAAATAAACATTAAAAAAAGTATATTTTGCTTCATATGGGTTTATCTAGTGCTGAGTGAAAAGTCTAAGCTGGAGTCATGACCAGTGGCCTTGGCCAGGCTGCTCTGGGCCATGGGACAGAGAGAATCTCCAGAGGCAGTTCCTGGGGCTCTCATGTTCGAGGTGGCCAGGCACCTCTCACCATCCACTTCTCCACCCAACCCTTGGAGAGCCAGGGACCTCTAAAGGCTTGATTTTTTTTTTCTTCACCCTACATTATATTAAAATTAATTCCATATTAGACTAAAAAGACATGATAACTTAATGCAATGCTTGATTCTGAATTAGATACTTTCTTTAAAAAACATTGTTGGGAAGTTTGCACAACTTGACTGGGATCTACGGATGAACTGGGAGTAAGAGATCAGTGTTCATTTTCTGACTTCAGTGGTTGGATTGTGGAAAAGAGGATGTCCTTATTTGTACTCTGCAGACACACTGAAGTGTCTGGGGGTGGGCTGGGGCATCATGTCCGTTTGCTCTCACATGGTTCAGAGGAAACAAAATGTTCTTGGTACTTGTAACTTTTTTGTAAGTTTGAGATGAGTTTGAAATCTATAAAAATAATTTTTAAAAATCCACCATGTTCTCTCCTGCATCTGTCTCTCATGGATGCTTTTCTAGAAAGTAAAGTTCTTTGGGGCGCCTGCATGGCTCAATCAGTTATGTGTGTCCAACTCGGTTTTGGCTCAGGTCATGATCTCACATTTTGTGAATTCGAGCCCCACATTGGACTCTGCACTGATGGGATTTTAGATTTGAGGAAGGCTTTTGTTTATTTTTAATGGGTTAATTGTGTTCATGCGTATAGCATCTAGCACCTTGTCTGGCTTACTGTAGATGCTCTGTAAAATGGTAGCTAAAAGAAAAGGCTAGCAAACTTGCTTTTCTCTTACTGTGTCTTCTCTTTGGTGCAGCAGAAGACCCGGTGACCTCTCAGCTTCTGCATTTTTTCACCCAGCCTGCAACTTGATTCTTGCAGTCTTAACATTTCTGGTTCATACTCAGGGGGAGGGACAGTTACCCCCCTCCCCCCTCAGCTTTCTGGCCCAAGGCCATGCAGTCTTCCCACACAGAGCAGAGGATGCTCAAACAGCACCTTGAGGACCTTACGGTAGATTTAGAAAAGATGCAGGAAGCAAAACATTCCTTAACATGAGACATCATCTTTGTTCCTAGCCTTCTCTTGCAGGAAAGAAGAGGACATACTTGGGCCGCACTGTCCCATGGGAAATGAGGTTTAAAGAGAGGTCAGTGGCTGGAACTAAGTGTGCTCTGTGAACACATCTCACTTTGGGCCATGTGGGGAACCACTGTGGAACATGGGTCTGGCCTCTCCCACCAGACTGAAGGCTCTAGGTTGCCATAGTTCTGTGAAGAGGGAACCCCCAGAAGGAGAGTGGAGGAGACTGCTCCTAGTACCACAAGGACAGGTGAGAGAGAGGAGAGAGCCCATAGAAGCCACCGCCCTCCCTTCACATTGTTTCATGTGGGCCTCGTGGTCCCATGAGGTTATGGCCACACTCACTACGGATTACCACAGAGGTGACAGGTAAGTGACTGGCTGAAGAGCTCACAGCTACTGAGAGGCGGCAGGAATTCAAAGGCAGCCTCTACTCCAGAGCCAAGATCCCTCCCCTTTACACGGCACCGTGCTGCCTCCTGGAGGCACCAGTGGGCAGTCCAGCAAGAGCAGAGGGCTGGCACAGGAGTGGAGAGAAGGGAAATGAGGGCCAGGTTGGCAGGTCACGTGGTTGGTAACAATGGAATAGTTTGAGAAGAATGAGGGAGCAGAGTGTGTGGCGGGAGGTGGGGCTGGGGTACATAGGGCAGTGAATTGCAAGGAGTCACAGCAGAGGCTGCCGTCCCTCCTTCTGACCTCTGCTCTCTGCCACAGCTGCCTTGTCCCTCCTTCTGACCTCTGCTCTCTACCACAGCCGCCTTGGCCCTTCAGGCACTGGTGTCTCTGACCGCACCTGCACCCTGAGAACATTGGAGTCAACTGCTCCAGCTCTGAGAGTGCCCATGTCTCTACTGCCCACCCCCAGACTCGGCCCCAAACGCCAACTACTCCTGCCCCCCAGCATAGACCCTTCCTCCCCCCAGAGGGAGGGAGCCCTCACGGTGCCCTGGCCAGGTCTCTACTGGAGTACTTACCAGCTATTCCCAGAATTCTACTTTTCCAGTCTGCTCCTCCCCGCCCCTGCTGCCAAACTCTTCCCTGGCCTTAAAAGGAAAGTTTGAGGAC